AAATTTTAATGGAAAACTAACAAAAAGAGGTCTTTGTCTCACGACTATAGTAGGGGGGGTCTTTGTTGCAAAACAAAGTACAGGGAGGTCTTTGTAATTTACTCAAATAAAAAATAAAGAAAACAATTAACAGCGGTGGATAATGGTGTAGAAAGAATAATGGTGTTCGAAAGGGAAGATAGCTACTTGTGAATGGCAAGTGATGATAAACAATCACCATGATGTATGAGTAGAGGAGATGGTGTGGAGTCTAGGGCTTGAAACCACTATAAAAATGGGAAAAAACAATGACCAGCCATGGTTAACAGTATATGAAGAAAAATGGTGAAAAGTAGAAGAAACATACCTGTTTAATGGTTGGTGATCGACGATGAACAGTGGCATCGAGAGCAAGGGTGCATAAAAAACGTTCTTGACGCCATTTAATCATTATAAAAAACGGCCTTAGTTTAGGGTTCTATGTCACTGCACAAACCGACTAGGGTTGGGCTCCCACATAGGGCGAAGATGCAAATCCTGCGTTGTCCATTACTTTCTCACTTTAAAATAGTCTTGTTAGTTTAATCCGAGAAATTGCATTATTGAGTATTGGTTATTGTTTTTTTTTATTTTTTTATAAAAATAGGAAGTGCTACACAAGATGGGGGTAGCATCTCCCCACAAATCACTCAAACAAATATAGTCTAAAGCCCAAGAGAGATTACAAAAATTAAGGGAAACACAACCACTGGAAGAAGAGTGAGCCTCACTTGCAAGACAATCCGTCACTTGGTTAGCTTCTTCTAACATGTGCTTATATCCAATACCTTTGCCATGCTTCTCTTTCAGCTGCAAGTAATCCACTCCTTAGAGTCCATGGAGAAAGAGTTTGACCTTTGAGACAAGAAATGACGAGTTTTGAGTCCCCTTCTATAATGATAAAAGGATTTGCAAAATTTGATGCCAAATTCTGAGCTTTTCCAAATTGCCCAAGCTTCCGCCACGTTGATAGATGATATTCTTAACGAGTAAAATTTGTAGTCTAGGATCTTACTTAGGTGGTTTCTCGCAATAGAAACTAGCTTAGAACAATTTCCATTACTAGTGCGAGGCGTATTAAAGTTGACTTTGATAGTGTCCTGATTTGGAGGAGTCCAAGAAACAAATTTCCAATTTCCCACCTCCCTAGTAGCTCTCCAATTCTCTCTTAATTCACAATATTCTAAATAGCTCTTTGATGCTTGTTCTAACACTAAAGGAGGGGGGGGGGTCAATATTATTAAATGATTTTTTATTTTATTTTTTCTAGATATGCCATCAAATATACACACATTTTTCTTTCAAAAGGGATGTTTCTTTCAAGTCAATCTTATGAATATCCACCCACCAATTTAGAATAGGGGTTTTTATAGTTCAGTCCACCCTTAGGGTGGAGCTAGGATTTATAGGGGCGGATTGAATTCTGCCCGTGGATTGATGTTAAATTCACGGGCAGGATGCAATTTATAGGAGGGGCTACCAGTAGACTAGGAGGGGGCTGCAATTTCAGATTTCTGAGGTGGATTATAGTCCACTTATCCCTCTAAAATATTATTACTATCACCATTGTTACTATCAAGATTCGAAATCATCACATTCCAAATTTGCCTAGTAGTGGTGCAAATGTTAAAGATATGAACAGTGCTTTCATTCTTTCCACATATACAGATATACTACAACTTCCATCAATATTCATCATTCTCTTTCTTAGGAGCTCTTTTGATGAAAGTCTATTGTTAAGAAGCAGGAACAGGAAAACTTTTAACTTTGGAGGGCATTTAAGTTTCCACACAAGCGAGCTCCAATTGACATAACCCCCTCTACAATCAACAATGTCACAATTTAACTTATAAGCTGTTTTCAAAGAGAAAACACCACTTGTGTTTAATCTCCAAATCATCTAGTCCTCTCTATTCCCGGTAGGAATGAAAATAGACTTTATTTTATTCCAAGTGTCCAAAGGCACAAGACTTCTAATCTTGTTTTCAAGTCACACATCTCTTTCATGATCAATGAAATCACTAACAGGACTAATCTCTTCATTTTGAATTGGGGCTATAGCAATTTGCAAGGGAATCCTTACCCACCCATATATCAGTCCAGAACTTAATCGATTTTCATTACCAACTTCCCAACTTAGACCCTTTCTCAAAAGGTCCCTAGCCCCTAAAATTCCCTTCCAGGCCCAAGAAATACCTTTCTTACTCTTTCCATCCCAGAAATTATCCTTCCTCACATATTTTCCCCTCACTACTCTAACCCAAAGATTTCCTTTCCCACTAAGATCTTCCAACCTAGCTTTGCAAGACTTGATTCATTGACCCATTTAAGCTTCCTAAGAGTTCAGAAAAGTTAATCTCCTCGTAATCGAAAAGGTGTTTTTCTTCCACCTAGCCAATTTTTTGCAAACTCTTTCCTTAACATATTGAAAGGTGCTCTTAGTGACCCTAGAATTAATGATAGGAGCCCCTAAATAAAAATTAGATCCAGATTAAATTGGGATTTTGAGGATGTGAGACAATATTTTCTGAAATTTATTGGGAGTTTTCTTTGAGAACTGAATTGTTGATTTATTAAAATTTGGGTTTTGACTAGATGTTTTCGCAAACTTCATCAAAATATCCTTAATTCTCAAATACACATTTATTGTAGGTTAAAAAAAAATAATAATACCGTTATTTGCGAATTGAAGGATTGGGATAATTGGACTATCCCTTTTGTAACTCTACAACCAATCTAATTGCCTGAAATTAAGGCTTCTTTTTCAAGATCTTGTAAGAGCTTCAACACAGCACAAAGATATAGGGGGAGAGAGGGTCTTCTTGTCTTATTCTTCTTGAGGAAGTGAATTCTTTAGAAGGGGTGCCATTAATCAAAATCTAGAAAGAAAAAGTTTTAGTGCATTCCATAACCCAGCCGATCCATTTTTCATGGAACCAAAATTTTCTCAAAACTTTTTCAATGAAATCCCATTCAAGTCTACTGTAGGCCTTTTCCATGTCAATTTTGCAAGTCATGATTCTTTTTTTGTTTTCATTTTTTCTTTTTCATGGAGTGAATCATCTCATGGGAAATTAAAATATTATCATTTATTTACCTATTAGGGACAAAGGCACTTTGAAAAGAAAAGATTAAATTCTTTAAGAAAGGCTTGATTCTATTAATTAGAGTTTTAGTGATCACCTTGTAAATTACATTACAAGCTGATAGGTCTGTAATTGTTAACTGTTTCTGGATGCTCAATTTTTTGGATTATAACAATAAAAGTCTTGTTCAGTATAGGGCATAGTTTATCAGTATGAAAAAAGGTTTTGATTGTCCCACAAAAGTCATCTTTAACAGTACTCCAAAATTTCTTAAAGAATAAGGCATTTATCCCATTTGCTCATCTGTGACACCTTTGTCAATATCCTGAATGAATATATCCACTCCACTTGTTCCTTCAGTTTTAAATCTCCTTTAAAATTCATCACAAAAATAATTCGAAATCTTCCTTGGGTCTTCAAGTCTAGCCCCCTCCTCATTTTTAATGAAGGCAATTTTGTATTTAGCTTTTCTTATAGTTGTTGCTAAATGAAAAAAATCTATTATTCCTGTCACCAAGATTAATCCAATCCACCCTAGATTTATGGGCCCAATAAACTTCCTCTCTCATCAATAATTTAGTTACTTCTGTAAAGCAGTTCCTAAGTTAATTAAAGCCTTGTCATTCCCATGTTCTGCCAATTGATTTTGAACATTTTCTATTGAATTCAGAAAGGGGAGAGTGTATGAAAGAGCTGTAAGGAAAAAAGATGGAGAAACATGATCTTTGGGAACTTTGTCAAGCAGGCTACCAAGTTTCCTAAGCATGACGATACCCATGGGTTCATTTCTAAATTCTAATTTGAATATGTTTCCAATTAGAATGCGATGCTTAGCTTGACACTTTCCTCTCTTGCCACGTGGTCTATTGAGAGGCTTGGATAAGGGAAGAGAAGGAGAGAGAGAGAACTAGAAAGGGCTAAGGGAGAAAGAAGAGACGTTTAAAGAGAGAAGAAAAATGGGGAATGGGAAATTAAAGCGAGGTTTAAGGAGACCCTACAAAGCTATCAAAAATCAAAATCAAGCCATTTGACGTCAAAGAAAATGTTAAATTCATCACGTCACACCATTACCAAGCTTCCATTATATATATAAGTACACGCAATTATATATCATCACATACAATATAAAACATTAAATTAAACTCTAATATATCTATCTAAATTTTAGCTTAAAGTAATTTCTTTTCAAACAAAACTGATGAAGGGTGATTTGGCACGACCTAGCAAGAAGGGGATATATAGGCACGATCTGATCGAGGGGGGACAATTCAGCCAAGTGAACTCAATTCACAACATTCGAAGCTCGGGTATTCAACCACCTCAGCCCAAAAAACCACCTCGGTGTAGAGGCACTTCGACACCTAATTCGGGACTAAAGAATTGAAGTGGCAGTTTGGGGCTAGAGAGCTGAAACCTCACATGATCGACTTCAAAGGCCTCCCCAACAGGCCCGAATTTCTCGGGATCACGATAAGACTCGTCCTAGCTCCGCCTGAATCAGAGGTAAAACAATAAACCTTATCAATATACTGCTCTCCTTCAAAAACGGAACAAACCTTAACTGCACAGCCCGAAGATCTCGGAGATCTTTCATAAGGCCCACGACTACTCTAGTATATAAAGACATAAAACCTCAAGGCAAAGGTACGCGTGATTATTCTACTCACTAGCACTCAAGTTCTTAAGCATTCAGCTCGCATTCACAACATAAGTACTGACTTAAGCATTGGAGCGACCTTGCCAGGTTAGCTACCCCGGGTTCTCTGATCCACTGTTTTGTAGAACAATCCAGCTTACCACCCAATTGAAGTTCGAATCGCCTTCTAGCTAGGAATAGTTAGATCGCGCACCATAAAAAACCAACTTAATCTATTAAAAAAAAAGGTTCCAATTAATATTAAATAATATAGATCTCCTGCATTTCTTAATTTAATCATGTAAGGCTTTCTGGTCTTTCTCTTTCTTGGACGGGACACGGCCGTCATTTCCGGCCAGCATCTCGTACTTGTCCTTCCTTGTGAAGCCTGTGCACTCGAAACCTAAGGTCCCAGATAGCACCCTTTGGATATAGTTAGCAACTTCGATTGCAGACTTATTGCCTCCTTTGCATGTAAGCTCTGTAGGCAGTTGGTTTAAGAAGGTTATCTCATAAGTTGGCCTGGGGTTCATGAACACGAAATAAGGGTCCATAAGCTTGAACCCCCGTGCCGTGGTTCCATAGAACATGCTTTGCTTGGTATTGATGGCCACTGGAACGATCCTGTCGGTAAGCTCTGCGAACAGTGCACTGAACCTCAATAGGAATGGTTCTCTGCAAGTGGTTCCCTCCGGGCAGATCACCAAGTCCCCTTCTTCCAGCAATCGCTTGATGTTGGCTGCATCTTTCTCTCGTTCCCTTGACAAGGCCACAGCTTTAATTGGGGAGATGAGTTCCGTGAATTTGCTTATACTGTATGTGACACAGCTTATCTTTCTGCCCAAGGCCACAGCAGTGACAACGGGGTCAAGCACAGTCCTGTGGTTGCAGACAAACAGGACCCCGCTCTGGCCTTTTGTGGGTGGTGGAGGAGGTTTACCCTTCACAATTAGCTTGATTCCCAGGATTGCGTACATATATCGAGCATACCTTTCCGGCAAGGGAAGATTCAGGTAGACCCTGAGGATGGAGAGTATAAAGCCAATTGGCATCCATAAGAAGGTCAGGAGGGCAACCAGAGGGGTCGGCCTCTGAACAAATCGCCCCTCGTGAAAAATGACCGGGCTTAGAAGTTTGTTTCTGGGCAATGGATTAATGCACTTGGTCCTTGGTACCATGTATCCTTCCTGCATGGCCTCACAAAAACATCCAGGGATGGATTAGCTAGGGTTCTGACTTCTGAGCATATATTTGAATGAAACTTTCATCTTTATTGCCTTAAAAAATTTTATATAAGTTATTAATATTAAAGAAGTTTGCTCATGAAAAAAAATAGTTTAGAAAAAACTAAAGAACTCAACGGAGATTTAGACAATTGATAAGGGTCTGTTCTATCAAATCCACGGGATAAAGATTGGGGGAGTTATATTGGCAGAGTATGGCTCTTATATTTTTAGGTAGGGGTGTCAATTGGACCGGTCCAATCCGATTCAGTCCAACATGAGTCCATTACAGATGGACCAGGTCCAATCCAATCCAATGAGTACTTCGGACCAATTTGGACTGGTCCAATTTAATGTTTGGACTGTTCAATCTGTCCAAATTGGTTTTAATTTAGATTGGTTTCATTTCAAACTTGATCTATTGATACTTGTATTTTTATCTTCTATCAATAGACCGGATATTAGTTCAATCCAATCCAATCTAACATAATTAACCCATTACAGAGACAGACCAGGTCCAATCCAATCTAGTGAAATATTTTGGGCTATCAAGTTTAAACTGGTCCAATTCAATATGTCTTATTGGTCCATGATTATTATTTGAACGGATCCAATCCAAAGTGATCCATTTTTGACACCCCTATTTTTATATAAACTGATCATATAAATTTGTTGTCAAGCATCATTATTAAAATGGAATTTTCAATTGGCAATATCAAAATATAAGAATTGGTATGCATTGTGTCAATTGCTTTTATATCGGTAAAAAGTGTAGCAATTAAGATGTAACCACATAACAAAACTCTACATGACTAGAGCTCTTAACAAGTGGAGCAAGTGAAACGCCTGCAACTAAAAACGTTGTCATCTATTTTTTTTCTGGTGTGACATTTCTCTTATATCAGTGCCATTAAAAGAAAGGATGTTGAGAAGACAAGAAGCAGGAATAGAATGAAAAGGGACTCAAGAGATATAACGAGTTAAAAGAAGCAAGACAATCACAGGGTGGCCCCACTAACTCACATTTACCCCTTTTGAACCCAAAGTCATTTTCTCCATGCATGAAAGAAGTTCTGTGCTGGTATATATATGTCCAGACAATTAAAGTGAAGGAAATAGTAAAAATTCAATTGGGAGGCTTTAGAAGGAATAGCTGGTGAACCAGAGCCATGGCTAATTACCAACTCCGCCACATGAAGAGACATGGAGAGGGTGAGAGATGGAATTAAGACCATCGGATCTCTTTCTCATACAGTGCTCCTCACACCAATTTCACAGTATGTCCTGCTCGTACATGATTGTACATTGGGAACATCTCCTGTACTTATATCTATTATTGATGGGGAGATGTTTTCATTACATGGTGGGATGTTGTAAGGTCAATGTAAGGAGCGGATTCTAATTCATCAACTCCATTTGATTTAGACAGTTGTCCCCTTAAATGGTCATTATTTCTCCAGTCAATCCAAGACAAGTGTCAAATGTGCAGGTCTCCCTTCCTAATTTCCTGGTACTGGTAGGAATAGGAGGCAATAAAGTATAAATTAAAACAAAGAAATTAGGGTCCGTTTGGTTCATAGCTAATCGAAATTGGAATCAAAATCAAAATCGCAATCCCTCCACATGAAAATGATCTATTCCCACAATATATTTGGTTCAGGCAAGAATTGAAATTAACTAGAAGGGAAAGAGTTGGAATCAGAATGCCCATTCCAATTCTGATTCAGGACTACCCCTATTCCCACAAACCAAATGTATCTTTAATCTTTAATTATAAAAGGTAGTCACTGAATCGGGGCTCACGAGAGAGAAGCCTGGACAAAAGAAAAGCAACTTCTACGGTAACAACCTCTACGTGATCAACAGGAATTAAAGTCATACAAAAACGGAGTGCATTCAATTCAGTTAGAGAGAGAGAGTAAACTATGTTCATGACGTGAAAGAGAACAAATGATTAATCTACGAAAACTGTGAACAGATGATGAGCTGGGGATCGGAAGAATTGTTAGAACAATGGTTCAAATGCAGATGAGAAACGTACGTAATAGGGTAGTGAGATCAAACCTTGCATACGGACAAGAAATCGTGGTCGGATTCTCTGTCGCCCAAGCCGACATCCGGGAAATTCTTGCCGAATTCTTGTTCAACGGCAGCTCTCTTGTGTTGTGCAAGAAGAACACCTGGTTTCTTGACGAACCCAGTTGCCCTTCCAGACTTGGAGACCTGGAGCTCTGTCCCTAGAACCTTGTCAGCTCCTAGATAGGCCTTTGCAAATGGCTCTACCGTAATTCTTGGATTCGCAGTTACGATGTATCGTTTGCCAAAGGAACTAAACACTCTCCAACTCTCTGGGTTGACATCCTCAGCGTAAAACTTTGGCAGCACAGACCTCGACACCAGTTCGATGTCTCTTAACTTCAACCCCGCGAAGGTGATGAAGAAAATGATCTGGGAGGCCGATGATTCAGATAAGAAAAGGTATGTCAAGCATACAAATGGGGCTGAAGCCAAAAGAACAAGTCCCCTCAGAAGGCTGCCAGCTTCTAAGGCAACAAGCATGAAGTAAGGGAAAGAGTTTTGAGACACGAGAAGGGTGCCATCAAGATCTGCGGCCACCATTTGGTCGGAGCGCCCCTCGGAGGTGCAACTGGAGATTGGTTTGAAATGATGAAGAGCACCCATGAGAAAGAGATTTTTGTTTGTGGTATGAAATGTGATTGAGCTGGGGAGGATTTAAAGAGAGAGGATCAGAGAGGAAAGACAAACTAGGTGGTCAAAATCCATTTGTTATTAGAATTTAGAAATAAACTAATAATATATAATTAATTGGAGCTGATTAGTAAATATATTAAGAGTTTAAGATGATTGTGTTTGGTTTGGGAGAAAAAGTTAAGTAAACCCATATAATGTTTGTACAGATTTTCTTTCCTTTTATTCCTACGTTTTCTTTTAAACCAAACAAAGGGGGACTGGCGTTTAAATCAACACAGGTACAAGGAGGGGACAACAAAGTAAGTATATTTTGGTCATCTGCTAAGGCCCCGTTTAGTATCCATGTTTGGGAATTGGGATAAATTACTAAAAGCAGGTTCATGATTTAATTGCTCAACTTTGTAAGGGCTTTCTGAAGTTTCACCAAAGGCAACTTATGGGCTTTTCATATGGGGCCTGCCTTATAAAGCCAGAAGCCCCTGCCCAAAATCCCTAGTTCGCAAACTGACACTAAATTATAAAGAGTGCAGTTATAATTCACTGGCTTTTTTATTCTTACATTTGCTTTAATTTGGTTATACATAGGCGTGTCCACACTTTTTTGTAAATCGAACCGGTGGTATTAGTTTTTCTAATTCTCCAAACCAAAACTGAATTGGTACCATCGATTAATCGGCCTGTCAGTTTCGGTTTTTGATCGGTTCCGTTCTTCGGTTTTTCAGTTTTTTATATTTATAATATATATTATACAAATATATATAATATTATATTATAAATAATAAATAATAAATGATATATAATATAATATAAATATTTAAAAATATATAATATATATAATATATCTATAAATAGATCATTATAAATATAATAAAAGTATATATTTTTATATATAATGAATATATATTTATATATAATACATAGAAAATATGTGACATATATTAAAAATATATATAACATATACATAAAAATATATATACCGATTTGTTTGGTTAACCGTCGGTTTTTTTGTAGATTAACCAAAAATCGAACCAATCCTTTGATTTTTTAAAAATTTCAAACCGAAATCAAACCAATTAATTTGATTAACCGCATGAATTTGATTTTTTAATTTTTCATGGACACCCCAAACTATATTTAAATCGGCAAAGGACGGACGTCATGGGCTGACTTGCCGAGTAACGCAAGCTCATAGATAAATGCACCTAATTAAATTATTGTACAAACTTGTTAGTTTGCTGTTTGCCTAATGATTGTTAATTTGATTCTCTCTATTCATAATGGGTGGCTGATGATTTGTACGCACGTGCAAACGAGGAAGAGAGATATATTTAATTCAGATATGCTCCTCACAGAATATATCAGCCGTGGATTGGGAGCATCTCCAATAAAAGGTTATAATTATGGAGATGTTTCAGATGCACGGCTGAAACTTGCTGTGAAATTGGTGCGAGGCATGCTTTGCGAGGAATAAAATTTTTTGAAATTAATGGGGTGAGAGGAAAAAAAATGTACATAATTTTTTTTTGAAATGGTCGTCTAGACGTGAAGCCAAGTTAATTAAGCGTTTGTTTGGCATAGATGTTGTTGCTCCAGAAATCAGCGAAACATCAGCACCATATCGGAAAAAATGGTGCTCCAAGAAATTCATGTTTATTTGGAATTGTTTTTCCATAAAAAATAGTGCTTTAAGCATGGTTTTCAAAACCGGACCGAATTGGATGGTTGGACCGGAAAAACTGGGAATTGATTAGGTGACTGGTTCCAATTTTCCCCAAAATTGGATTTTCCATAAAAATCGTTGATTTTGGTCAGCAAACCGCTGACCTAGGTAGTTAACCGTTCGAACAGTTTTCATTTTATTTTATTTTTGTCAAAACGGGTCGACCATTCGGAACAAACGGTCAAATCGTTCCTCGATAATCAGACCCCTGACCAATTCAGTCTTCGAGTCGGTTTTAAAAACCATGGCTCCAAGCCACGCCTTAGAAATCGGGAAGGCATGGCTTGGAGCTATAGCTCGTTGCTACCAATAGGGACATGAGGTGGCAATGGTAGGGACATGACATGGCACTGGATAATAGGTACCAGTGCTGAAAACGTTTCCTAGAGCATAGGTACCAAACAAAGAAGGTTGTTGTTGCTCCAGGAAACATTCTATCTAGCAGTAACATTTCCAAACAAAAAAAGACACCGTTTTCTTAGAAAACGGTGCTTCCAACCCACACATCAGAAATATATCTCAGCATTGATACCAAACATATACAAAGTATCAGCACTATGTAGTAGATATAGTGTAAATTGGAATTATTGGGTTTTCTAATTGATGAGGGCAGATTTGACCCTCCGCTGACCTAGCAACACGTGGCACGACAGGAACGTTGCATGACACCTCAGCGCCACATGAATAGCAGCGGATCCGACAAAGTCAAGGAGGTACACCTCAGAACCAGTCCGAGCACCTCATACACAACTTGGGCACATCGATAGGGTGGCTAGCAGCACCTCGTCCAAGGCTGACCTGTGGTACCTTATCGTTACTGGTCCAATGGACCTCGGTGTGAGGAGTGACCTCCTTGAGGACTTGACAACCTGTGGTACCTCGTTAGTACCGGTCAAACTAACCTTGCCATGAAGAACGACCTCTCTTGAGGACTTGTCGACCTGACTAAGGTCCAGGTGGCAACCTACGAGATGTGCTCACCGACCTCCTTTGTATGCATCCTGTCACTCACAGGTCTTTCAAAAGTCGGCTCCTGTATTGGATGTTCTAGAGAAAACCAAATAAGACACAAAGCCGTGTCTATGTGTGCGACTACCTCTGAGGACTTTGGATTGGTCTTTCTGGAGATTTCGGACACGGTGCGTGATGCCCACACCAAACAACGGCTATATAAAGGTCTCATCTCCTCCTTGACAGAAAAGGTATGTGTGATTTATCTCTCAAATACTATCAATTTTGCTTTCATCTCTCTCTAAAACCTCCAATTCGTTAACTTGAGCATTTGAGTGCCCACACCGGGTAAAGCACCCCGGACACTCTGACCTACCTTCTTCCAGCTCAACCAGGTGACCTCACTAGCTTGACGTCCAAGTTGTCCTCTAGTAGGGAGCACCAAATTGCGCACCATCACTAACCAATCCATCTTACCCATAAAAGGGGAAGAACAATGGAGGTGATCTTAATTAAAAATAGGTGAATGCTTTCCATAAAAGCCTATGCCATATAAAACTGAGGGCCTGCTTGGTTTGTAGTTGGAATTAAAATTAGAATCGAAATCCTTTAGAATCGGAATGGTCCATTCCCATAGTCTGTTTGGTTCCTACAGGAATGGGAATAGGATTTCATTCTCAAGGGAGAGATGAAGAATGGCCATTCCCTCAAATGGAAAAATGTCATTCCAATAAAAATGAGAATGGGACTCTAATTCTATCTAACCAAACAATTATAATCGAAATAGCGCATTCTGATTTCAATTCCAGACCCCTATTCCCACGAACCAAAAGGGCCTTGAGCTTTTCATGGACCACATAACTTAAGTGACATACTGGTGCAATGTGAAGGGTAGCCCATGTTAAAGTCATCAACATACAAACACACATAATTGGTGATAGGGGGCGTTAATTAATTAGCTAGAAGCTTAAGGGTCCGGTCTTAAAGCCGATTAGGAAGTTGAAATAGCAGCTTAATGAAAGCCTGCTAACTTTATTTATTTGTTTATTAATTCTAGATGTTTCAACCTCAATCTTGTAAGAAAAAACATAATCCTTTCTTTAATTACCTTTTATGCTGGGGTTTTATTAGTTTTCTGTGGAAGACTTTGGCTAGCACTGTAGTGTTGTTCTTCATTCAAAGGGTAGATATCAAAATCAACTACTCTCCACACCTCCATTTCTTCGCTTTTCCTTTTCCTATTTCTGAAGAAAAATTTTTCTTAAAAGCAACAGAAACCACATGTCTTGACCAAAGTTTAATTTTTGGATTTTAATTAGTAATCGAGGAGCACCGACTGTTGGAGAATAAAAATCTATTGAGGGACCTCACCTAACACTATACTTACAATAATTAAATTCGATCTGCTCTCTTTGATTCCCGGTATTTTCACAATCAATTGCTTATCATTTTAGGCACAACCCTATCAACCTTCCCCTTAATCCTCTTACCCACATCATCCAATCTATAGTATACTCCAAGCAGAGAGCCGGAGACCATGTAATTGAATTGCCTTGAACTGAAGCATCAAGAGCCAACTTTGATTCTCACCATGCATCGATCTTTAAACCAGAATAAAACCCTCCATTTTCCAAGGTCGTCTCTCCAAGACCAAGACTATCTCACATCAATATCATGTTCAAAGAATGATTCAACCGTGAAATTAATATCCCAAACTTAATTTGGGAATTAAATACTGTTGTTGGATGGATAGAACATTAATTTACCAAAGATTTTGCCCAGCATACATGTCACCCACTTAGCACGATCAGTCCTTGTTGGATGGATAGAAATAGAACATTAATTCACCAAAGATTTAGCAAGCAAACATGTCTCCCCACTTAGTCCGATCAGTTTCTCTAATTCATCTCTTCCCAAAGCTTTGAAATTTACCATCTGCCAATCCATCAGCATGACCCTCCACTAGTCTGTTGCCATATCACCCACCCCGGCCCACACCTCCTAATTATTTAATTAATTACTGTTTAAGCTTTAGATTGAATGGTTCTTTGAAATGGTACGAAAGTATATCTGACCAAGTAATAATCTATGGGCAATTCTTGTGGCGTTCGTTATAATTAATTAGCTTTCAGCATAAGGTCTGAGTGGGCTTCATCTTATTCACACTTCAAATCCGCTGGGTTTTCGCATAAAAGGATATATTAAAAAATAAAAACCTATTTAGAGACCTCACCTAACAATTTACGCATTTAAATTGAAGAGAAGAACTCATTAATTCTGTGGCATCTAGGGCATAATTG